AACCTAAAGATATGCTGAACTGAATAAAATAGTGGTATATCAGAAACTATATCAAAGTGACTCAGTGAAGTGTTACCATAGCGACATATCATGAACGCACATTCGGTTCACACGCCTTTGCAGTATTGTTTTGAATCAACAACTTGCATGTTTAGGGTGGACATTATGAATATTTATCACAGGAATTTGATATTTTTTTTTACTACATAATTGTACTTAGTAGTGGCAACTACACAATGCTTCAACCATGAGACACATCCCTGGTAATCACGTGATCGTGCCAACTACTGCAGCGATTGGCTGATGTCATGTTTACTCTGCCACGCCTTAGAGTTTATGATAAAGTTTGTAAAACTTTGTGAGGGAAGGAGAGAAGTGGGCAGCGAAGCGTTACCTCAGCTGACGGTTTGGAGGGATAAAGCTGGACTGTCTGTAATGAACTAATGTGTATTCCTTTGGGTCGCGACTGGTATCTCTAGGTGTAAATGTTATCAGCTAAGCGAGTCAAGTTTCCCGAACACAACGCAGCCAAAATTGTTGTACAGTGGCCATTGAACATTGCTTTGTTGTTGTTGTTTTATATTTTCATTGAAGAGTTATAGAATAAATAGTTTGATTGTTGTAAATTACCGATGTATCACAAAGAATTAACATACCACTATCATTTGTTAGGCGACCGAGCCTCACTGTCAAAGTGAACAGCAATGTCCTGATACAAAGCTGGATAATATATACTAGGACAGCGCACAACTTTCACATCACCATCTCCAGTACATCCATCCATCCATACTTGTTCACCTATAGTGCAATGGTGACCTTGTTGTAGTCGCCAGCCCCCTCATTCATAAAAGATGAGAATCTTTTGCACTGAGATATTTGATTTTGTATTAATTAGTTCTTTTTATTTAGTTACTTCATTGCGGTCCCCTAAAATAAAACAATTAGTGAGTGTTGTCAAAACCTGTGATTCTTTGAAATTATATTACCCTTCTTACTTTGAAATTCATACTTCGCTGCATGCCTTGCAACTTTATATTTTATTTGTCTTTGCATTTTATTATTTATTTTCTTTTTTTTGTCTGACAGACTCACTAGATTATCGAATTTAACAACATAATTGCGGATGCGAAGTCGTTTGGTGGAGAATTTTAGGCAATCGTAAACATAAGCGTAGTTGAAAATATTACCATGTCGTTTAATTGCTTGCTTAACTAATAACAAGGTAATTCATTTGTGATCATTGCATTTCGTAATGCCTTGTTGGTATAAAGTAACACACGTTTTATTTTTAAAGGTATTACTGAACTTGTGACTAGCTTATTGGAATTTACATTTCAAATGAAAATGAGAGTACAGAATAAGAGCTGTACACTGTCGCATATCAATTTCACATCGGCTGGTTTGTTTATTCATTTATTTGTGTCATAAAAATATATTATAATAATAATATAGTGCTATTTATTAGTGATATTCTAAATTGAAAAAAAAAAACATGTATGAGTAATACTTCAGTGCAGAATGTGGCCGCCGCGATTTGCGACTTGCGATTTATTAAAGGTCGGTAGTCGTCACGCCACGCAGATCAACGAGTACAAACTGAGACGTTACGAAGCTTTAATTAGGTATGTTTTTATTTTATTGGAAGGCATCAAAGGAGTCACTGGTGGTAATTAGTGCGAGACGCGCTCTGGTCAAACCTGATTTCCATTAGAAGAGCGCATTTGACTGTGGGAAAATCAATGTCTATCAACACAAATGTCGCACATGTGCAGCGCGACGACCACCGCCCTTTAATATTTATTCATTTATTAAAGTTTGCATAGCTTAGGGTCATAGAAATGGTCTAGGTATGGTAACCTGTACCATACCTTACCCCCATTTTTTAACCCTAAGCAACGTGAACCATTATTAATCAAGTTACAATGTGTATGAAGTTATTTTTGATACCTTGAACTCAATTAAACGCAATTAAATTTTAATTAAATTGCATTCCGATATATGATTTTAGTTAAATTGTGTTCCTGGATAAGATTGCAATTTAATTCAAAATCACAAATCGTG